AGCTTATGAGCATAAGCTTGAAAGTGACAAGCAACCCAGTGTTTAGAAAGTTCTCAACATATAGTAAGCCTTAATAATCACATTTTCATTCATTCATGTGACAAAATTTGCTGTAAGAATGAAAGCCAATTCCCTGACCCACATTGACAGCTGAAGTGAATTTGGTTCCCAATGTGTGCTACAAAAGAAAGCAATGTAACAAAGACCCAGATATACATGGCATCATCGGAACTAGGAGAAAGTGACCTCTTATTCCTGCTGCCAGGGAAAGGCTGGGTGGGAGGCTGGTTCTCTTTGGGCTGCTCAGGAATTTCCTTATCACTGGGCTTAGCTTCATGGCTTACTCAGAGGCTACTTGCAATCTCTGTTAGATGCTAGTCTTCTGCCTCCTATTATACCACATGGCTTGGGGAACCCACCCAAACTATTGTCCCTCTGCCCCCCAAAAAAGGGGGTTCTTAGCCCTGCTTTTGATCACTGTTGGCATAGTACATTATTATTCAAAGGCAAAGCCTGGTGCATTTTTGCTTCTATCCACAGCACAAAGCGCATTGTCTGGTATGTGCTTTGTAACTTTTTTTTTAATGGATTGATTTAGTGAATTGATGAGAGGAAGCCATACATTCATTGGGCCTAAGGATGTAGTAGAAAGTATGTGGAACTTGAACAGAGAAAGGGATTTAGGTCCTGCTTCCAAATATTTACTTTTTGTGACCTTAGGCAAGTCACTTCAATTCTAGAGGTATTAAATTCCTCATCTACCATTTCTCACATATTATTTCTGCTAAGAGTATGCCATCCTTCTAGTGTGGCTTGGAATAATCCACCTCACCAAATAGAGCCAGTGAATTGCCACCTCTTTTCACTTCTGTCTCCACAATGGCTATCCCATTCTGTCCCTTTCCTTCTTCATACATGGTCAGAACCCCCAATTCAGACCCTTATGATCTGTCACCTGGGCTATTTTGATAACTGCGCATTGGTTTCTCCCTTCAAGTCTCTCCCTAGTTGAATCTAGCATTTTTATAATTGCCATGTTGATATTTCTGAACCACAAGTTGAACCATGTCACTCCCCTACCCCATAAAATCCCATGATTCCCTAGTACTTCTAGGATCAAATATATACTCCTCTGGCATAAAAGTACCTCATAGCCTGCCCCCATCCTACCTTTCCTTACCCTACCTACCTTACCTACCTTCTTATTAAACATTATTATCCTTTATACACTCAATGTTCCAACCAAAATAGACTTCTTGTTCCATACATGCAACATTCACTCCCTCATCTCTGCCTTTGGACTGTCTCTCATGCCTGGAATGCACTTTCTCCTCACCTCTCCCTCTTAGAATCCTTCAAAGCTTAGCTCAAGGGTCATCTTTGACATGACGACTTCTCAGATCCTCTCCCATCTGCTAGTTCCCCAGCCCCACCACCAAATTATCATATATTTTGTATATATTTTGAAGATATTATCTATGTACACATTGCTTTCCCTGATGAGGTATAAGCTTCTTTAGGGATCATTTCATCCTTATCTTTACCCCAGTCCCCGAGCACCATCACATCATGCCTAACACAGAGAAGGCCTTTAACAATTGCTTATTGGTTGATGGATGTATTGCTAAAATTGAGCTCAGTCAAGCAAAAAGCATTTATTAAGCATCTGTTCTATCAGACACTGTGCTGGGCGTGGGTGACATAAATAAAAGAATGAAATGATCCCTAATCTCAAGAAGCTTACATTCGAAATATGATAAATACATGTAGTATGTATTTTGTAGTGTTGTCATGAAGACCAAATAGCATAACTTACACAAAGTACTTTATCTCTTAAAATACTACATAAATGTCAGCCAGCAATACTATTATTAGCTTTTTTTTTAATGTGCTTGAGTCTGCCCTGAAGGTTTGCAGCATTTAGCAATAGTCATTAGAGAGAGAAAGAACGAACTTCTGTTAACTAAGGTCACCCACTGCAATGGAGACATGGTAATGGGAGCCTTCATTTTCTGAGCCCTTCTCATCCACTAACTGAATTGGAAAATAATGCTCATCGCCCATTACTCTTGTGATAATACTATTATGTGCAACTTATCTCAAAGTTCATTTTTCTTTTGCTATTAGCATTTAACCTGTAAGTAGGTTAGCAGCCCTTTAGAACACACACTTCTCCCATTGATCTTACATGCATTTTGTACAGCTCATTTGCTGTAGTAGAATAATAGGATTCAATGACAGTAAGCTTCATATCTGTGGATGCTTTGCAGTTAATGTAATATAATTTAATTGTAACTTAGATGTAATATTTTCAATTCCTAGCCCTTGGTAAATAGCCATTTTTTTTTCCTGTGGGTTTTATCAATTAATCTGTGTAATGAATTCTCTTCATTACCTAGTTCTTCATGTTAATTGTAATGGATTTTCATATACCTATTTATCAAGTCAGAACAAGTACACTTTTTGGCCCATGAGCCTTTGAATATGGAATGTGTACAAATAGGTGAAGGCTTTCAGGATGAATTTACATTTCTGAAAAATTCCAATCAATTGATATCCATTGTGACATTCTCACAGTGGATATCAATCTATACCATTTTCTTCAGGGGTCATCTTATTGCAGAGGTTGTCAGCCTAATATAATTAATGTACTTCCACCTTCTCATAAAACAAGTGTAAGCTATCAGACCAGCATTTAGCATGCATTCCCCTTTGTGGCTATGTGGGAGAGTTGACTTCAGCAATTAAATCCCATCAAATCAACAACTGTTGATTAAGCATTTTGAACAGATAAAGTACTCTGAGGGTTATAAAGTACAAGAGTCTCTTCTCCCAGGGAATTTACAGTTTGGTTAAGGACAACAGATATAAAGACAGGAGAAGTTAAGGCACAGTGTAAAGTTTAAATGATTGCAAAAAAAAAAATAAAATAAAAGGAATTTCACCCCAGAGTTCTGAAAGAACTGGCAGATGTGACCGATTGCCGAGCCACTGACTGTGATCTTTGAAGGTCTGTGGAAAACCAGGGAAGTGCAACATTGGAAAAGGTCATATATCAGAATTGTATAGTGGGTAGAGTGCCAAGCCTGGAGTCAGGAAAGCTCATCTTCTTGAGTTCAAATTCAGCCTCAGACACTCACTTTCTATGTGACCCTGCACAAGTCACTTACATCTATTTACCTTACTTCTCCATCTGTAAAATGAGCTGGAGAAGTATATGGCAAGTCACTCCAGTATCTTTGCCAAGAAAACTCCAAATGGGATCACAAAACGTCATATACAACTGAAAACAATTGAACAACAACAATATATTGAAATCTTCCAAAACAGGGATGAGAGCCAAGCCTGTAAATAAATGAGGTCAATGAACTCCACTTCAAATCCTGGCAGTGTTCTAGAGCACACGTGACAAAAACGTGGTGAGCCACATGCTCACAACACTCTTGAGTATGGCCAAAAACAGATTCAAATCTAATTGGGAAATGTTTAACATAATAAATAAAAATGTAATAAAACATAGCATTGCATTGTAAAACTAAGTCTGTATATGGCTCACAGGAGTCTTTATGCACAGATCAATGGCCCCATTTTTATTTGAGTTTCACACCACACAATATGAAAGGGTGCTTAGTGACATCAATTTGGAATCGTGTGATAAAGTGTTTGTTTCTTGATTTAGAAAACACATTGATTAAGTTAGAGAGGATCCAGTTGTGAATAACCAGGATGGTGAGGGGAATGGAGACTTGGGTATATAAAGATGGATTTAAAGAAAAAAAAGAAATAGGAATATTTGTACGAGGTGAAGAAAAGACTTGGGAAAGACACAATAACTCTTTAATTATTCAGTGGCTGGCCTGCAAAAGCAGGATTACACTTCAGCCACTTGGCCCCAAGATGCAGAACTGGGAACAGTGGGCAGTCTTTGCAGGAGGACATATTGTTACTTAATGCAAGGCCCCGGTTCTTAACAAATTGGTTGTTGCTGTTGGTGTTGCTCATTTATTTCAGTTGTGTCTGACTCTGTTTGAAGTTTTCTTGGCAAAGGTGCTGGAATGGTTTGCCTTTGCCTTCTCCCACTCATTTTACAGATGAGGAAACTGAGGCAAACAGGGTTAAGTGACTTGCCTAGGGTCAAACATCTGGCTAATGTCTGAGGTCAAATTTGAAGTCGAGTCTTCCTGACCCCACTCTCCCTCACTCCTTGTTCTGTCTACTGCACTGCCATCTTAATACATAGAACTATGCAAATGTGATTTCAGGCGGTAGTGGATTTCCTTTTATGGGATTTCTTCAAGCAGAAGCTAGATTTCTTCTAGTTGGAGATATTAGAGAAGGGCTTACTGGATAAAGATAGGTTAGACTAGGTGGGCTTTGAGATCCCTTCCTACTCTGAGCTATTGTGATGAACAGTTCAAAACAGAAATAGAAGAGATGTCAAAGGAAGTGGATAATTAACATAAATAACTGGTAAAGGCAGTAAGTGCTACAGGAAGAGAGAAAGATCACTTTAGGCTAGATTAATATGTACTTATGCATTAATATAGGAAAGAGAGCCAACTGCTAAGCTGAATATTTCATAGAGATTTCCCATAATGTATGTTACTATGTACATCGCTTACTAGTGCTGTTTCTATGATGTAGTACTTATTACTACAGGAAAAAAAATAGCCACATTCTCATTTGAAATAAAAAATAGTATTATCACATATGTGCAACACTATTGTTCTATGCAGTATATATTTACATTATATTATAAAAAGGGATTCTCTTGTGAATTTTATATATATGCATACATACATGGTTGTGTGCAGGTATGTGTACACATACAGATATATGCACACAATGTATGTGTTCATTCCAAGACAAAATGACATCAAGAAAATTACTTTCTATTCCCATAGTATGTTATTCAGTGTCATTTTTTTGATTAACAGCTGTTGGTAGTGACAATTTCCCACTCCTTTCAAGCAGGTAACACCCTTTTTCTTAATTTCTAGGTTGAAGCCATCCTGGTCAATATTTTTGGTGGAATTGTAAACTGTGCTATCATCGCCAATGGCATTACCCGGGCCTGCCGAGAGCTTGAACTAAAGGTACCCCTAGTGGTGAGGCTTGAAGGTGAGTTATGGATCGTTAGAAATGGCCATTACCCATAGCGTAATTTCTTAAGAATTATTTATGAAAATAGTTAAAAACAGAATCAGATTCCAGCATGGTTTAAAAAAAATGAGCTTCATCATAACTGAACCTATAACATGGTCATCAATTTTGTATATTTTCCCTTTTCCTCCTCCCCTGTCTACAGCACCATCCCAACCCAATCCACCCCCAAATAATGAAAATCATCAAGCTTTCAGTAGGTTTCTACTGTCTAAATATTATGACACTATTATCTTCTCAAAACCACTAAAGAGGGGTAGCTAGGTGGCACATCGGCCTTGGAGTTAGGAGGAGGTGACATTTGACAGTTACTAGCTGGGTTGCCCTGGGCAAATCACTTAACCCAGATTACCTTGCCAAAACAAACAAACAAGCAAACAAACAAAAAAACACTAAAGAGGAGACGAATCCACACTTTCAACACTAATCTTAGTTTCTTTAGATTTAAAAAAGTCAACTTTCCTCTGGCATCCTAAAAGTAGTAATTTGAGTAAGAGCCCTGCCATCAAAGTAGTAAAGGGTCAAATTCCTATAGAAGAGACACTTAGACACATTTGTGGGAATTGGAGAAACCCGCTTTGTTGGGGTTAGCCAAGGCTGCTAATGGAAACTTCCTTTGGCCATGTAGACAGAGGCCCACAAATGAGTTCCTTGGCTAATCTAGTCCCTGCCCTAGACATAGCGATTTATCATATTGGAAGGAGGAGTGAAGAGTTCCTTTCTCAAAACTCTACTCAGAAGATTTCCTCTAAACCTTTTTTTTTATTGTATGAGTAGTATTTAGTATGTTTTTTTTAATTATAATTATTATTCCAAATGTATCTTTATGGTTTGTTTGTTTTGACAACTCCTGTGTTCATGTAGTTGCTGAAGAATGTGAAGCTTGTATCCTTAGACCAGGATGGTCTCATTTAACATCTCCTACTCTACTGCTTTCACCATGTCAGCTAGCTCCAGGGAGAGGAATAGTGTCTGTCATAATATTGAGAAACTTTCCAACTTGGAATCTATTATACAATTTGGTTCATCCTTATTCAGCTCATGTGGTCCCATGAAGCCTTCCCTGATAAATATCTCGCCTAAACCCATAAAAGTGGATCTTTGCCTTTTCCATTTTCTCACAGCTCTCTGCTTATTTCCCTCTCCCTTATATCACAGCTCTTTGTGTCAAGCAACAAGCATTTATTAAGAACTCACTCTATGTGTATGTATACACATAACAGTATTAGCCTGTATGTGTAGTACTATTATCTCATATGTGTATATTTGTAACACTAATCATAAAATAATGGGAAATGATGGGAAAAACATCCAAAAATCCTATCAAGGGAATCACGTTCTAATGGGGAAGAAAGCATGCAAATATTAATATTCATAATAAAAACATTTATGTAGCTCCTACCATGTACCAGGCCCAATGATAAGCTTTTTATAAATATGATCTCATTCTATCCTCACAGTGACCCTAGAATTAGATGTTATTATTATCCTCATTTTACAGTTGAGGGAAGTGAAACAAATAGAGTTTAAGTGACTGGCCCAAGGTCACACAACTACTAAGTATCTGTAACCGGATTTAAACTCCAGTCTTCCTGACTCCAGGCTCAGTGTTCTATTCCCTGCACCACCTAACTGTGTTTTGTATGTGTGTCTATACAGGTATGCACGTGTATTACATGTACACGTACATGTGTGCATGTATGTGTGTGTATGTAATGCAGGCCTGCACAACATACGGCCCGCCACTGCTCACTCTCTCCTGTTTCTCATGTGACCCACAGCCACAAACCCTCCTTAGTCTATCTCTAGTTACCTTTACTCGAGAAGTGAGCTTCTAAAAGCCTATCATTTTCATTTTGGCCCCTACCTACTTCTGATCTAATGCAAGGTAATCTCAAAGGCATTAACAGCTGGGGGTAAGTGGGTGGGACCTTCTGCAGGAGATGGCATTTGAGCAATCTTGAAGAAAGTCGGGTTAGCAGTGAAAAGGGAGAACACTCCAAGAAGGGGGAACAGCGAGGGCAAAGGCACATTTTGGGAGGTGGAGTATCTCATGGAAGGAACAGCAAGTTGATGAGTATAGCTGGCTCATGGAGCACCTGGAGGGAAGAAAGTGTAAGAGACTGGACAGGTAGAAAAGGCTCATATTAGGAAATCATATTATCAGTTCCTTGAGAATAAAGTCTGGGCCACACCTACCTCAGCATAATGGATCAAGGTACTGCATTTAGAGTCAGAAAGACTTGGGTTTGATTCTTACCTTTGAAATTTGCCAGATTTGTGACTTTAGGCAAATCACTTCCTCTCTGAAACTCAGCCCTCTCATTTCTATGATAGGGATAATCATAGTGCCCACCTTATAGTGCTGGTAAGAGGCTCAGGAGGATGTCTTCATAGTGATTTTACCATAGAAGTGTTAGCTATGATGATGACAGAAAATTGACATTTGTATATTGCTATAATATTTGCAAAGCACTTTATACATATTAGCTCATTTAAGCCTCATATCAAACCTTGACAGGTGTGTTATTACTTTACAGATGAAGAAACTGAGGCACACAGAGGTTAAGTGACTTGCCAAAGTTAGCTAGTAAGGACTTGAAATAGCATTCAAACTCTGGCCTTCCTTCCTCCGCCGTCATTATTATTTGAATCCCCAGACACTAGTAAAGACTATCACAAAGCCTTGCATGTAATAGAGACTTTTAGTAAACACTCAAGTGGTTTCTCAATCAGTAATTATTGGATACCTAGTGTATGAAAACCAAAGTGCGAGGCACAGTAGGAAACGCTAGAAGCCATCCCTTTCCTTAAAGATTCCGTATTCTCTTTGGGGAGATAACCCACATGCTTATAGTTAGATGATGACATAAGACAGACGTATGTGTAAGAACAGTATCAATATTCTTTCCCACAGTGCCTCATGATATTGTTACTGTATCTTTAAGAACCAATGGAATCTCAGACTCATAGTTGTAACGTATACTTGTATATGTAATTGTACTCAACTTGTTAAATTGCATAGTTTAAATATGGAGTTTGTTAAACTATAACTGCAAGATGCAATGGTCTCTCAAAGATACATTAGTTTCTGTGGGAAAGGGTACTAAAGCTGGTGTTCTACAAGACTTGGGAATTTGAGTCATAGACAATATAGGACTTAGAGCTAGCTACGCAAAGACAAAAATGAAGCTATCCACCAAGCATTTGAAGATGGGGCAGTGGAAAGCATTCGTTACATGAATGACCTCTGCTTGATTATGTTTTGCTGAGGCTGATGTTCATGTTAATAATTTACAACATTTATATGCCACTTTTAGGTTTGCAGAGTGCTTTTTGTGCATTATCTTATTTAATCTTCACAACAATCCTGTGAAATCAGTGCTATTGCTCCCCCCTCCCATTTTACAGATGAGGAAACTGAGGCATACTGAGATTAAGCAACTTGCTCAGGATGGTGCATTAATTGTTCTTAACAAATTCACGCTCTAATAGAGCACAAATAGATTCCTCCCATCCTTACCTTCATCAGCCACCTCCAAACCACCCCCCAAAAAAAAACCCCAGAAAAAACACCTCACTGCTTCCTACTGCTGACATTCCTCTGGCAGGCTTTACTTACCTCATTAGAATTGGATCAGACTGAAGAGTACAAAAAGATTTTGAGTGACTAAAAAGGCCCAAATCCAGCCTTTCTAAATGTCCCTCCGTTGTGATAAACCACACTAATACAAAGAGGAGGAGGTTGGCCTACTAAAATTGCACTTGTACATTTGCCCAACAAAAGTTCCATGATTGTTCCCATAAATCTAACAGATTTCTGGCCTCCACAGTAAAGGCTCTTTGCCCACACACAATGTATTAGAAATGTCTTGATGAGAAAAGTTTTAATCAGTCAAATCTGGCTTGATTTAAGGGGATTTTGTGGACAAATATTTGTTCTCAGCTGTATAATAATTACAAGCTGCTTTACCAGTGGATAAAGCAAGGATTACTCTCCTCTTTGAAAATGGTAACTTTATAATTACATGTATTTACTTGCCTTATCAGAAAAGAACTCACCAGCTGAGATTCAGGATTATTTTTATTTAAAAGGCTCATGGGTGATTTGAACAGCCACATTTGGTGGTGGCAAGGGGACGAGGAGAGTTAACTTTCACAGATGACGCCTCTGCCAGTGATGTGGAACAAATGTTTGGGGAGAGGGTTTGCTCTTTATTTTTCCTTTTTGAAATTAAGACAAAAGCTGGGGAGAATGCCTAGGGACGTAATTTCCACTGAATTCATAATAATAGTAATAAAACCATACCAAAAGGTATGAGATAGCATTTTTGCCAGCTTTGTACATATGTACAGCCTTGGATTAGCTGAGATTTGGGGTTTGAGATGGTTTATCTATGGTTTGGGGCTGAGGCCAGTTAACATTATTGAGAAGTCTTCAGAAGAAAGATGGAACATAGAATAAGAAAGAGAGATTTCATTTTCATTAGGAATCAAAATTTCCCCAGGTTATCTCTTCACTACATCTGTAGTAAGCTCCTTTTCTCCCTCCCCAAATGTGTCTGAAGAGGAATTTTTTGTTAAGAAGTGACTTTTAATTGATGACTTTCTAGCTCCCTGAAAAGAAGTCATTGATTAGAACTCACCTTATTCCCACATTCTTCTCTCCTGCCACAAACAAATGGGCATTCTTTTGGTATTATAAGCTTTTTTTACCTTTCTCTGCCTCCCTCCAATAGAATGTAAGCTCCTGGAGGACAGGGCCTTTTCTTTTTCTTTTCTTTTCTTTTTTTTTTTTGGCTAAGCAGTGGGTCACACAGCTAGTAAGTGTTATGTTTCTAAGGCCGGATTTGAACTCAGATCCTCCTGAATCCAGGGCCGGGTGCTCTAACCACTGCACCACCTAGCTGCCCCTGGACAGGGACTTTTTAACTTTTGTATCTCCAGTGCCTAACATA